ATGTGCGAGTTAATGACGCGCCTTATCAACACATTGTGTTGGAGCTCACTGCTTGTTTTAGCTTCCTATCAATGCCACGGTGAGCCGCCATCTTGTTTGTTTATTTACGGCCATAAGAGCATCATGAAGCCTAAAAACTCGTTGACCAATCAAAGAGCGGCACAGTTTTCCTGTAGTAAAAAGATACGAATGGCCATACTCTGTCTATAAAGGTACTCTATGGACGACAGGGTTCATTCCATGGTTCAGTTACGTTCTTATGTCAGGAGTGCGACGAATGGATCACCAAACCATGAACTAAGTTTGACTTGCGAATACAGTTTCCCGAACGTATATGACGCGTAAAACACGATGGACAGATTAAAAACGCGGAAAAGTAACTCAGAAACCGAGAACTATACGAAGTTCAAACAGCGCAACTTTCCTGCATTTTCAAAACGCCCCGTTTTCGCGCCGAACGGAATGATGTCATCCGGCACCAATCCAAGCAAGCACGGGTTTCTGCGACTTCCTTGAAATGTCATCCTACTCCTCGTATATGAAAATAATTGCAAAGTCGAAACTAAATTTAAGGAATCAAGGAATCAAATCTCATTCATGTTATGTACAGTGCAAACAAAAAACCGTTCACCTTTGAAACACGGTTTATTTTAGCAAACATCAGTGGAAAATGAGAGGAGACAGAGATTTGAGGAACTTGTGGAAACCCAGGAATTCTTAGACCATAAATGACAACTATAATCTTTTTATTCAAATTTTAGAATTAAACTGAAATTGATTGATATAGAAAATACCATATTTAGATAATACAATAACTAATCACCAAAGTATATATGTAGCCTATAAAATAAAGAAGAAACAGATTGAACGTAATCCTTATTCTATAAATAAATCGGTAGATGGTAATCGTAGAACTGTAGCCTAATACTTTTTAAATAGTACATAGAGTTATACAGAGTCAATATATTTGTGGCCCTAAATATTTTCATCCCCCCCCTCCCCCGGATACAGATCATGCCAAGCCTACCTGGATGAGGCTGGTTTGATAATGCCACAATTTGCGACAGAATTAAAGAATGTGTATCGTCCCTTCGTCATACCGGGAAAAGAGTTTTCATCTCTCTTACAAGGTCTCCAAAACGCTGCGACGAACTCAATAGTGTCTTATCCGGAAGACTATGAAAGTATGTCAGCCAAGAACTTTACCGTGCTAATGTCTGTCAGCAAACAACGGCTTGAAGAAATGTTTTCGCTTTTTGACCCTATTTTGCAGCCTGACTGTACCTACTCAGCGTTACGTAAAAAAGAAAGATATTCTTCTGTTTTCGTGTAAGTCAAGACAGGGCTTGCCTGATGATTTACTGAAAGTTATTTTTAACTATTCAACGAGACAGAATGTTCGTCTATGCATCAATACTGTGAGAAAGTTGCTCATGTTTAAGTTTATCCCCAAGAATATAGGATTTGGAGCTATTCATCGCTAAAATTATATTCAGGAGCTTGCAACGGATTTCTACAACAAGCTTTATAATCCAACCCCGGAAACCCTGAGAGCGATTGTTTATGTCGATGAAACTTATACTTATATCGATAAAAGCTCAAACTCTCTAGTTTCACGTCAAACGTTTTCTCATTACAAGAAAAGGCATCTGATCAAGCCGATTCTCGTAGTCCAAGCTTTATAATCCAACCCCGGAAACCCTGAGAGCGATTGTTATGTCGATGGAACTTAAAGTTATATCGATAAAAGCTCAAACTTTCTAGTTTCACGTCAAACGTTTTCTCATCATTAGAAAAGGCATCTGATCAAGCCGACTCTCATAGTCGGCACAGACTGGTCCATCCTATCTATTCTAGACCTTAACTTTGCTGATAGCCGGAATAACAATGCAGTAATATTAAATCGCGAATTAGAACTGGGCCAAGAGATGTTGGAATGGGTTGCAGACGGTGATATATTCATCGTAGATCGTGGCCACCGCGATGTATTTATCGTAGATCGTAGCCACCGCGATGTATTTATCGTAGATCGTGGCCACCGCGATGTATTTATCGTAGATCGTGGCCACCGCGATGTATTTATCGTAGATCGTGGCCACCGCGATGTATTTATCGTAGATCGTGGCCACCGCGATGTATTTATCATAGATCGTGGCCACCGCGATGTAATTCCATTTCTTGAGCAGTGCAGATTTGAGTTTTGAATGCCAAATCTTTTCGGGCAGGAAGAGAGGCAATTTTCCACAGACGATGCAAACGAATCTCGGCTCGTCACGAAGATCCGGTGGATTGTAGAGGTCCGGAATGGACACATATAGTCCCTTTTCAAGTTTTTGGTTAAAATTATACCGATACAGCATTCGGTCCATTTGGGTGAATTATGCAAAATACCCGGCGCGATTGTAAACAAGTAATCACGAGAAAATCATCATGAAAGAGGCAAATCCCAAATTGGCTCAGGAACTTTTCTTAAAAGCAAAAGAAGTAAATGTTGTGCAAGCTCGTGTAGAAGCTGAAAGATCATGCTCTTAAAATGCCCAGTGGACCCGCCTCGACTATTGACAGATAAATAATTTTCCGCAATTCAGTTTTCCACGGCTGAAAAAACTGACTCGTGGTCTATTTCAGTTAAGGTTGGCACGATCGGACATCCAGGAACAACTTCCAATAGATGACGACGAGGAATTGCAAGTCAACCGTAACATTAGTGACCCTGGTTTTTGGCGACTACGAGTTTTCACCAGACTTTAATACGCCGCACTACCTCACGCGTCATCAAATATTTCGGAAATTGACTAGCTTTCCTAGCCTTAATGTCCCATGGATTAATTTTTTGGTTTTAGGCTCGTTTTAGCATTCTAGCGCCCATTCCATTGGAACCGTAAAAAATACATTTTTGGAGTATTTTTTTCGAGTAATGGCAACAATAATTATTAAAATATCTATTAAAATATCTTCAACCAAGGTTCAAAATTGTCTTTCATTATAGCATGGTAAAAGGCCAATTTAAATACCAGAACAATCCAACATCGCAAAAAATGGTTGTAATATTCCACACCAGTGATAGATGCCATATCAATACGATGAGGAGAAAATAAGGGCAAGTTACTGTCTTTTGTGCCTACAATCAACTCAAATTACCTATCCGTGCGCGTAAATTGGGTGATTCATCTCAACCCAGAAGTGGTCGTTAAATGCAAGAATGATGTGATGTCTCGGTCGGTTAACTTTCTTCTTATCAACGTACCTTATGATGGTTCTCTCTCATGTATGGTCCGATTCTGACGCGTATACAGAAATTTGAGATCCCTGACCTTCCTGTAATCCCAACAAAATGGCAATCTTCGCCTTGCAGTCTTGGAACAACTGGAAACTTTGGATACAAACAGGTCTCGGCCTCTCAGCAATGGAGATGTTGCATGTGTGAGGAATTGGCGATTTGATTGTTGATTCTTTTGTAAAAGTTCGCGAGAAACACGATGGTGCCACTGGTTTTCTCTGTAATCAACTCCCAAGCTCCAAAAAAGCTCTCAAGTTGCGGCCAAAATGGAGGGGATATCCCACGCTATCCTGAGAGTCCACCTCGACACCAAGAAAAAATCTCCATGCAAAGATAGGGAGCAAATACATTAGCAGTGATGCCACTTTATTTGGGGACTCCAAAACTGAAAACACGGCAACCCTGCTAATGTACTTGCTCCCTATATTTGCATGGAGAGTTTGTTTTGATGTAGAGGTGGACTCTCAGGATAGCGTGGGATATCCCCTCCATTTTGGCTTCAACTTGAGAGCTAGTTTTGAGCTTAGGAGTTGATTTCAGAGAAAACCAGTGGCACCATCGTGTTTCTCGCAAACTTTTACACAAGAATGAACAGTCAAATCGCAAATTCCTCGAGCAACATCTCCATTCGTCGGCCATTGGATCCGTTGTTATTCCAATCACGATCCCGGCTGTCAGTTGGCACTCACTGTTGACCAGTGTCTATACGAGTGCGATTGTCAAAAGCGTACAGAACTTCAAGATCCCCGAGCGACCCTCGCGATTTTAATCCTAACAAGATCGCAACCCTCGATTTACATTCAGGGAACACTTGTAAACACCTGTTGAAAACGGGTTTCAGCGCATCATCAGTAACCGACCCAGTCAGGATCCCGATGACGATTCCCATTTCCGTGGATCGCTTCACGAGGACGTCTTGCCGGTCACTTTCCAGCTTTTCCCGACCACTCTGTACGCTGAACTTCCTATCGTCTGCCGCTAGAGTGAGCAAGGTGTACGCTAGTTCCCGAGTTCCTCGCGGCAGGCGGTACTTGAAGAGTTCCGTGACCGCGACGGAGAAGTTGTGGAGAGACGCCTCCTCGCCAGTTATTCGCTCGATGCTCTGAACAAAGTCATCGATGGTTTGGTTCGTTATATGTAGTTTAGTGATGTAGTATGCTCGGTCGAAGATCAGATTATTGATGTCCAACTTGGTCTCTAAGTTCGGTACACTGAGTCTGTTCCCGTCATAGACGGTATAAAAGCCATGGTCGAGGAGGATTTGCAGGATCAAGTCCCGATGAACAACGGATGAAGTTTGATTGAGTTCAAAAATCGATCGTCGGAGTTGTTCAAGAGCCCTCAGCGGGATCTTTTGCCGGATGAGGAGTCGTGTCTTATTATCGAAGGCATCCTCTATTTCACGGCCTAACCTCTCGAAATTCAAGAGGGTTTTCATAGTTTTAAAATGTATAGACTCGTTTCGGTACGGTTTGAGCTGACCCGTCTTAAAGTAGCTCAACGTTGAGCGTGTGTTGTAGATATTATGACCCTTACGCTCTGATCTGTAACCACTGTACCAAGTTCTGACCTCGGAAATGTGTTTTTGCGCTTCCTGCTTTTGTGCTTTGTTGAAGCGCCGTGCAAGCTCATATACATCAACTTCTGTCAGGCCGTAATACCTGGGGGGGAAAAGAATAAAAAGTTTGGTAGTGCTCTGAGACAATTTTATGAACCAACACGGAAAAATATTACTTTTGGTGGAACGGTGAGAGTACGACGTGATGATGATTTTGGAAATTTTGAAAGCTAGTATATTATACAAATATGCTATAGATTGTTGGTTCGCTACAATCAATTCAACCGCACACTTTTTTACGGTATTCATAACTTTCTTAACAACCAACTCGGAGTAGTATTCGTAGGTCGAGATACTAACCAAATTATTAACCTTATTAGGCCTTAGGTATACTACTCTGGCTTTGGTCTCATGCCACTAACTGGCAATACTGTCTCTATGTAGGTACGCTCTTATCCGGTTGGTACAATCGACAAATTCTGTGAATTTCTGAAGAAGTGAGAAACGTGGGAGCGCCTTCAATTTTTGAAAGAGCAACACGCACATCCGTGGAACATGAATAGTTGCATCAAGGCGCCGCAATGGAGATGTTGCATGTGTGAGGAATTCGCAATTTGACTATTGATTCACATGTAAAAGTTCGCGAGAAACACGATGGTGCCACTGGTTTTCTCTGAAATCATCTCCCAAGCTCAGAAAAAGCTCTCATGATGAGGCCAAAATGGAGGGGATATCCCACACTATCCTGAGAGTCCACCTCTACATCAAGACTAACTTTCCATGCAACGATTGGGAGCAAATACATCAGCAGGGTTGCCGTGATCTCAGTTTTAGAGTTCCCAAATAAGGTGACAGCCTTGTCAATGTATTCGCTCCCTATCTTTTTACATGGAGAGTTTGTCTTGATGTAGAGGTGGACTCGCAAGATAGCGTGGGATATCCCCTCCATTTTGGCCTCAACTTGAGAGCTTTTCTGAGCTTGGAAGTTGATTTCAGAGAGAACCAGTGGCACCGACGTGTTTTTCACGAACTTTTACATAAGAATCAATGGTCAAATCGCAAATTCCTCGCACATGCAACATCTCCATACTGTCCCTATGTAAGTACGCTCTTATTCGGTTGTTACAATTGACAAGGCCCGTGCATTGCTAAAGAAGTAAGAAATGTGGGAACGCCTTCAATTTTTGAATCGGCAACATGCACATTCGAGGAACACGAATAGTTGCATCAAGGCGCCCGCAATTAACTCATTGTCATTCAGCGATTGAATCAAGAGTTTTTTTTTCTTGTCGATGTTTTTAAGAGTCTGGACTGTAGATCCAATGTGTATTTTTTCCAGTGTATAACAGTACCGAAAAATATAATTGAAACTTATGCGACTATAATCCTCAATCATTTGTCGTACACTTCCACAGTGTGTTGCTAACTTTGCCTAGTAGCCAGTCGGTAAATTAGGTTACTGAAAAGACGCCTGCTTTTTAGATAAAAAAGAAGGAACATTAATTATGTATTTTCTTTGAAGAATGCCGACGAATAAAAACTTCGAAATTACTTCAAGCATAAAATAATGTTTTTGACAGAGCAAGAAACTCACTGATGCAAAAATTCATCCTCGAAGACGGGAAGGTGCGTCAATCCATCTGTGATGTCGATTCTGAGACTGCCCGTCACTATGGTCCGGAACACATCCTCGCTTTTTACAAGCAACTTGACAAATCGACACACATTCTCCTCAATCCTCGTAAAACTTTCTTCGTCAAGATGTTGCGCGAAAAGAGCCTTACGAATTGGTATGTCAAAATTGTCGACCAAAACTATCGCTTTTTGCTGATGATGATAAGACAATTGATGGACCAGCTTTTCTCCCCCGAGCGCAACCTGCAAAATAAGTGTTGTGTAGTTAAATACGATGTAATTACACGTTGCTTTTCGGCTTGTTTGATCTGATATGGCTGCGTCAAGCTCATTGAGAGGACCGATACCATTAATGGATGTGTCAAAAGCGGCCTTTTGAAATTCTTTTATGAGCTCAATTTATTTGAAAAACTCTACAAACTTAAGTGATAACCTTTTTTTAGTATTAATGTGCCTTTTGGATACTTATGGTTTTTTTTTTTTTTTTTTAATTAGCGCGAAGGATTTTTTGCGCCAATTTATCCTAACTTCAGGGAAGAGATTGAACTTTCAATCTCGTAATCAATAAATTTAACAAGACCATAAGCTAAACTGCAGTTTTCATGAATTGCTCATCTTTTGACCCCTCCCATGTAATAAAATGTTTTTACCCTTGAAATCGGATTGCTTGGTATCGATAGGTTCCCTCTTCTACGTCATTATACATTCTGGCTATGGTAGGTATACTGCAATGATCTTTTGGTCTCTCCCAAAATAGGTGTTAGTTTCAGCGTACGTCGCGTCGTGCTATTGACGGATTAATTAAAAGGTAGAACATGAATTATCTAACTTTTGTATTTGTAAGTTCAACTGTCGACTCCGTTTAGTTTAGCCATGCTCAGGAAATCAGCATACGTACCTCACCTATACTAAGTTCTTTATAACCATCCCGGAAGAGTAAAAATTCATCCTTGGTGAGCTTGGTTAGCCTCTTACTCATTAGCAGGTAGTTAAATTGTTCAAAAAGTCGCGAAACCATAATCGTAAAAGAGCTTTCGTAGTCCTGATAAGAATTTGTCGATAGGACTCCGAAGTCTACCATGAGGACAGGATACCGAGAAAAATGGGACTCGAAAAGCTCCGGCCAATCCTCTAGTATTTTCAAGCGCGGTTTCGAAAAGGTCACGTAGTTCTTCAGGTGGTCTCCGATAGCATTGACGGATTTCGTGACGTTCGCAGGGGCGGATTCACCTTTGGTTTCGTTTTCGAAAGCTGTGCGTTCTGTGGAGGTGTTTTCGTGACGCTCTCTATACTTCTGCAGAACGTCCTGAAAGATTTTGTCGGCTTTCAAGAGCTTTCCCGCATTGATGGCGTATCCATAGGAGTCGATCTCCATGGTGAAGAAATCCTGAACCAATTGAAGGTTAGTGGTTTTGCCGAAACCCGGTGGGGCCTCGATGTAGATGTGCCTCCGGCCATCTAGAATGTACTTGATTAGTAGGGATTTGTCTATGAAACTGCGTGTTTGAGCGAGGTTTTTAAGGATGTCAGATTCGCCATCGGTATTTGAAACTTCCTGTGCAAAAAGTAAAATTAAGTGGGTAAGTCCTACTGATGGTTCATGCAGGTGATGATTCATGCTTTACCTCTGTACAACCTTAAATGTGAATTTTCCCTCTTAAATCCTCATAATTTTTTACACGCAGTGTGTTACTTTGCTTATCTGTGAAAGCAAGTTTTCAATCGCTGTTTCTGTCTGTATTAGGAGGTGTCTTGAAAATCCGAGCATTATTTTTCTGCTGACGTTCATAATTTTTTCCTTGTCTCAAAAGTTCGAAACTACACAGATTTTATTTTTTTTTCTGTCAAATGAAGTTTTGAAATAATGTACAAATGCGCTAAATCATCAAATGCGAAAAAATTGTCATAAACTTTTCAAAATAAAGGTCATATTAAAGTAGAACAATAAAAAATGTTTTGATATGCAAACTGTAGTTCAAGTTATGAGGTAGGTAATATGAGATCTCTAAATTACACCCAAACTCGAGATTTTTAGC